CGGGAGAGGGACCGGCCCGCCCGGCGAGCGAGTTCGGTCCCAGCTCCGTGCCTGTCGCGCTCCTTGCCCTCTCTCCATCTCGTCGTCGGCCCCGTCCCTCTGCCCCGGGATGCCTCCCAACCTCACCGGCTATTACCGCTTCGTCTCCCAGGAGAACATGGACAATTACCTGCGCGCTTTAGGTAACTCCACCCTTTTCATCCCGCTTCTTCCTTTTGCTTCGTTCTGTCTCCAAAGAAGTCAGGAAGGGGACGAAGGGGTTTGGGAACCCTCTGGTATATCTGTCTGCGACCATCACTTTTGCACTGTGGTGGAAGGGGGGGAGGAGGTATCATGGCTGGGGCTCCCTGGCTAAAAGAGTGGAGGAGCTCTGCGGGCATGCTGCTAGAGGAGGCGACCAGGTCGTCCACAGATCTCCCCTCCCTCTCATCCTCCAGATATCAATGTAGTCCTGCGAAAACTGGTTTGCCTCCTGAAGCCCGATAAAGAGATCATCCACACGGGAGATCACATGGTCATCCGCACGATCACCTCCCTGCGGGACTATGTCATGGATTTTGATGTGGGAGTCCAGTTTGAGGAAGACCTGGGACCTGTGGATGGACGCAAGTGCCAGGTGAGAAGCCCAAGCAGTGCAGTTTGACAGCAGACTGGGGTGCACTAGAAGTTCAAGGACTTGCTCAGCTTTTGGTTCATGAACCAGATGAGAGCCCAGCCCAGAGCTGGTGTGCACTTGCAGGTCCAGGGATAAGTGATTCTATGAGTAAATTGCTCACAGTAAAGGGGGTGGGCACCAAGCAGCCAGAAACCCCAGTACTTTGGGCCCCTCTGGAACAAAGCCCTGGAAACACAGAACATCAGCCCACTTGGCTCCGTTGCACTTGGAAGCTAGAGGGTCATTCACCTCCCGCAAAAAGCGTCAGTCCCAAGGAGCCACCAAAGAGACACCAGATCAGGGACTGCATTTGAAAATGAGAGGAAGTCAGTGTCATCACTGGAAACCTGTATTGCTAGGACCCACTTGCCTTGGGACCATGTCTCACCCTCCCCTCCTTATTTTCAGACAACTGTCTCCTGGGAAGGGGATCAGCTGGTATGTGAGCAGCTAGGAGAGAAGAGGAACCGAGGCTGGAGGCACTGGCTGGAAGGGGACCAGCTGCATCTGGTGAGGAGGTGTCCTGCATGGCTTGCTAAATCCCAATTGCAGTGGGCGGGCAGGCGGGACACACAGGGTGGGTGCTGCACGCTCTGAGCCAGCCATGCAGCTTCCTTCCAGCTCCTCTCAGACTTCACCCCTGGCTCCTTAGGGGCAGCCACCACTTCACACAAACATGCGTCTCCAGGGTTTAAAAGTTAACAGCTCAACAAAGGCAGTGGCCCTTCCCTGCCCTGCAGCCTGACCCATGGGGCTTTGGGAAGGTCGGGAAGGGCACGCAGCAGCATGAGGCTTGCGAGACTGCAGCCAGCACCGAGTTTCCAGCCAGGACCAGGAGAGCAGGCGGGGCTGCAGTGGCGACAGCTGCTTTGGGAGACAAGTAGGGGTTCCAGCCTAAACTCCTCTTTCACCCCCTTTCCCCAGCGCATGACTGCCGAAGACGAGGTCTGTGTCCAGGTTTTCCAGAAAGTGAAGTGAGCGCTCGCCCGGATGGATGCCCGGACGGGACCCTCGCTCCAGTGTGCAAACTGCCCCGGATTGAAAAAGAAACAAGACACCGAGCGAGCCGAATCCCCCCGTAGCAG